TTGAATAAAAGGTCACTTTGGTGTTCACAGAGTTAAGACGAGTTCATACTCCTGAAAGTCCCTCCAGATTTATCACAGCCTTCTGGGATCCGGATTGGCTACGGTAATGACAGGGCTGGGGGTGGGGGGGAGAGAAATTTACATCAAATACAAGTGTTGTGTGTGGATAGGTAGACTGCTTTATTTCATGGTGCCATTTAGATCAAAATTTTAGACAGGTATAGATTGTGATTCAAAAGGAAGCAGTGCAGCAAGTGACCCAGATGGGACTATTTTAAGGAAAAATGCTCCCCCTCCCCCTCCTCCCCCAATAACACCACCAAAATATTGCAAATACGGCCAGTGACAATCTAGCCCACAAAATCTATTTTTTTTAAAAAGTAAATTACTCATTTCAAACATGCTCAATCACAAACCTGTCTGAATAATAAAACGGAAAAAATAAAACCAAACAACCGGCAGGCTAACAGGTTACTGTGTGATGAAACCTGTACAATTTATTCTACATGGGGTAAGTCAGTCTTATGACAAGAACATAAAATACTACCTTCTCACATAACACGCTACAACCTACCAGAAAGTTTCACAAAAAACTTCTCCCGCCTAAGACTTACAGATAAAAAATTCTACAAAATCTACCCCCCCCCCTTCTTCTTAGGTCGGGGGCAGCCCCCCCCCCCCCCCCTGAAACCCCCAATGTTGTTAAAAACAAGTCAAATATTACTAAACCATTGGTCCTATTGTAATAGAGATTGCTTAAAAATATAATATCATTTAAACTAATAATTTGCAGTGGATATAATTATAAGAGTCAAAATGTGTGTATATAGCAGATAAAAATGAACAAGAATTTAAGTGCTTTGGAAATCTTTAAGCTTGAAACGGGTCTATGAGTAAAATAATACAAAAAATTAAAAAGGTATCAGGTAGTTATTTCTGACAACTAGGCCTACACTACTACACACACATTCTTAATTTTTTTTTAAAAACAGCTACGAAAAATCACAAGGCTTAATTTCTTACATATGTATATATATATATATATAACCTGACCTCAATACCTTCATCTTTCAGTGAATTGTGTGCCTCTGTCGTTAAAGCGTACAATTTTAACCTTAGTTAAATGTACATTCAAACCTGCCTTAACGGAAACCTGTCTTAATGGACTCCCCCCCCTCCCCCCCATATTTCCTCTTTAATTACCTGTATAAAACGGAAACCTGTCCGACACGGAAACGGAAATAAAAATCCGCTCCCTTCCGAGGGGTTTTACCTGTCTTAGACGGAAAATGCTTTGCCCGCTCAGCCCTGATTTGAAACAAAACTCCCTAGTCGGTTCCTCCGGCTCTAAACTTAATGCTATGGCCATGTCGCTGGGCAAGGAAGGGAGTAGGGGTGCAATATGGCATGGGGCTAGATGTTACCACATCACGTGAGCCCTGAGCGATGCAGACAGTGTGGGTGCGAAATATCACGAGTGCCCATGAGAGTGCTCCAGTAGCGAGCAACTACAGAAACTTTCTTGGGTAGCCAGAAGCCAGAGGTGTGAAATTAGAAAGACCAATGCCTGCCGCCTTGATCGTACGGCCAGCCGAGAAGAGAGTTCCTCAAATCATTGTTACACGATGGCAGTGAGGGATGGTATTAGTTAACTGTGCTTGTTACACCGGTGGGTGGGGTTAAGTTTGGAAGCAAAGGAAATGTTCAAACGTTTCTGTTTTTAATAGGTCAAACAGTGGTCCTATGAAAGGCAAGCACTGGTAATAATTGGAAGACTGACACACATGTCATTCATTATCAGACAGGATAGCAATTGAGAGGTGTGAAATTTTGACAACTGCTTGACGATCGGACAAGAAGCGATCCTTGATCCCACCGGCTGGGCCTTTGATTTCCCCCCCCCCCCCTCCATCTCCCCCTAAATTCCCCTGTCTAAGACGAAATTTTTTTCAGGCTCCCTTGCGAGTCCATCTTACACAGGTTCGACTTTACTCTGACTCAGTAAGATAAAAAAAAGGTGGCCAGAATTTTTCACAGAAATGAACTGAACAGCAAAATGACATTTTTAGAAAGAACAAGGTTGAAAAAGCTATATTTTCCTTTCCATTTGCATCTTCTAATAACATGACAGGAATTTTTTATTTTTTATTAGTCAAGATACAGACTAAAAATACTTGATATTATATTCCTTTTTGAAACATAATATCATCCTCTAAAATGTCATAATGTTAAAAAGCTCTCAATTTTAATACATGTGTGTAAGTTAATAACTGAATGCAGAAGATGATCATCCATCCAGCGTACAGTTCTCATGGAATTTCTCCTGAAACTTTTAGAGAGCTAAACCCTTGGGACTAATGACTAAACGACGTTGATACAAAACTCTTTAATTTACCACTGCATACTACTATGAAACAAACCTTGCCCCACCCATAATTGATTTACTCCATCCACCAGCCTATGGCTGACCAATAGAAGATCGAAGTGACTATTTCTCCAAAAGTTCGGGAAAATAAAATTGAACTATATTCCTCCGAACAGTTTCCGTTCTCGAGATTTCTTGGTTATTTGCAAGAGTTCAGCGTTATCTTTCTTCATTCTGCCAGGACTGGGAAGAAGCATCTTTTGCATCGAATTCAATAATTCTAGAGCTAGATCTAGAGATTTTTAAACCATGTCTGAACATTCAGATACTTCAGTTGTGGTTGGGCCAACGTTCTCAGACTATCCTTCATTTGAAAATACCTTCAAAAGGTATGGCGAGAAAACAAGACTGATCGACCATGGCAGTAACCTATTTTGCATTTAGTCATCCACCAAAAACTAAAATCCTTCATCTAAATTTTTAAAAATCCCTTCATGACGACCCCCCCCCCGTTCACACCTTACACACACACTCATCTCATACTTATCATAAGCACACTCTTACAAACACACACACTCACACGTACACTCTCACACAAACACACACGGGCCACTCCATTCGCAACTATTATCAACAAATCTCGAGAACTGAAACCGTTCGCAGAAATAGAGTTCAATTTTATTTTCCCGAACATTGGGAGAAATAGAGCCAGCCCAAAAGAAGAGCCATCATACATCCGTTTTTCTTCCGCTGATTTTTTTTAAAATCTCAAATTTTGACAAAATTGTCAACATAATGTTAAAAAAGGGGTGCTTTTTCGGTAGTTCCCACCCCCTTTATTTGAGCCTGACCTACATCTAGATCTAGAGTCTAGATCTATACGTTTGATCTGCGGCAAGCTAAGATATCAAACCTAAGAACTGCAAAACATAAAATTGTGGTAAAATTCAGGGGGGGCATGCCCCCCTTGTTATTGTTGTTGTTAGCGATCCAGTAGCATCTGAGCGTTAACTCTTCTGCATGATGCCATTCGGTAATAGTTGCATGTTTGTTCTAACTGTTGTCTTGAGGAGTAGAGGCAAATAGATGTGTGGGGTAGCTTGGGAAGAAAACATCCCCTTAAATCAGTTAGTTTTCTACAGAAAAACAGATGATGTTCCACTGTCTCTGAGGGGTAGTCACATAGTGGGCAGGCAGCAGACTGCTTTACTCCAATTCGGTTGAGATGTTGGTTGAGGGGTACATGTTGTGTTCTAAGTTGGAAGATTATGGATTGGTCTCCCCTCCTCAACTCATTGATTGGATCTTTGACCAGTGGTTTATTCATGTGGCCATACATCCTCCTTCCTGTCGTACCTGTGGCCCAATCATTCATCCACTCTTCCTTGAGGTTTGACTTGATCATTTGGCAGCAGGTGGTGTAATTCGTAGGAATTTCAGGCTGAGGGAGACTAGCTCCTTTCTTTGCCAGAGCATCAGCTCTTTCATTTCCCGGTATCCCAGTGTGGGCAGGAATCCATTGTAGGACTACTGCAAGCCCCCCTGAAACCCCCCCTACTCTTGGGGCCAAAACCAGCGAATAACAATTGCGGGGTGGGAACTACCGAAAAAGCGCCAAAAAAGGCATATAAACCTATATTTAATAATGAAGATGACAACAAAGGCAAAGGTGGGTAGATCTTTAGAAGTCGAAATTTGGAGACCTGCACTCTGCTGTAATTTAATCGCTTCTTTTCAAACTTTGCCTGAGGTAGTGTAGAGTAGGGGGGCCTTAGTAAGTTAGAACCTTCTAGACTAGATTCTAGTTATATAATGGTAGCTTTTGTTCTACTAGGTTAGATCTAGGAGACTAGATCTAGATGTCTAGAGTAAAGATCTAGATTCTAGACAAAGTATTCAAAGAGTCCTGGACCGAATCTAGAAAATACAGTAAATCTTCAAATTTGGTAACATGATTGACATGATGTCATTATAGATCTAGAATTAGATCTAGAATCTAGATCTACATCTAGATCTAGATATAGATCTAGATATAGAATCTAGATCTAGATCTAGATCTAAATCTAGAGGAGAGATAAAGAACCTTTAAATCAGATTATTAATTATTCTGTCTTTTCTTTTACCAGATCGAACGACGTTTCTAGAATCTAGATCTAGATTTAGATATCTAGATCTAGATCTAGATTCTAGATCTAGATATCTAGATCTAGATTCTAGATCTAGATCTAGATTTTAGATCTAGATCTAGAGAGCGTGACCCAAACAAGCAAACGGAAATCAAGTTTTCAAAAAATTATCACTCCCATTGCCATTGCCTGACCAATTTGAAATTTCAAGAAATTTTCATGAAATGAAATATAGTCTAGAGATCTAGAAAATCTAGTCTAAACCAAAATATTGAACACTGCATCTATTTTACTTAATACGTTCCATGCCAACTTAAAATCGGCTTTGTAAAATATTTAAGACTAAGATTAAATGGGGAATTGGGAACTCGACAAAAATGTGCCCTACATCTTTCGGTTGGCAGTCCAGGCCCAGGGCCAGGCCTGGTGATGCTCTGCGTGTAACACAGACACCGACACCATGCTGACACTTTCAAAACTTTACACTACAACTGTATATGTAATATTACCTGCTTTTAAGGGACATTGTTGGCACTCTGTATTCCATGGGTCAATAATACTGGCGCCTTTACGTTATCACATCCATCATAATGTGGAAAGAAAAGGAGGTTCCCAAAGAAGTGTTTTTTCGACTCGGTAGCATCGGCTACATTGTCGGTAGGTTTGGGGGATCCTTCGGAAAAATACGAGTCTCACACACACTTAGATTTCACTACTATGAATAGGCATGAAATGACATCCATTTCATAGATTCCTTGAATATAGGAAATCTTTATCTTAGAACACAATCACACAACAAGTAAGCTGGCATTGCTAACTCTAAAATCCTCCATGTAAGGCCGTATTTACCAAATGTTGTTCCGCAGTCAAATAAATCAGTACGCCACAGCTGGAATCGTTATTTTTAAATAATTTTCCTAGACCCTTATTTTTAAAATGTGAGCACCCTAAAATAAAATTTTATTTTCACATACTCATTCGACTTATTTTTTGACGTAATAATGACAAAAAATGCAATTTGTTAACAGCTTAACATAACTATTTCGCTATGCGGAGGAAAGAGTAACGGGGAAATCATGACGTCACACAAAGGTCATGTGACTTTGCGAACCCTTCAAAACCATTGCCTACTTTCGTTTTCGAAGGCGAACTATCGATACCATGTTTTTTCGAAGCTCTTTTGAACTGTGGCGTCCTTTCCGACTTTCAGATTACAAAAATACTTTTGTATTTGCATTGGTTTGTTTATGGGATTTCAGATTGAATTATTTTATACAGGGAAAATTTTGTGGGACATCAAAAGTCAAAAGAAAAACAAGAAACAGAAGAGGACAGATATCCACGAAATTTGCGAATATCCACTTGATTACACACGTTCTACTTATGAACGCAAAAATACATTAACGTAGTTTTTTCTTGCTGTTTTTGTTTTTCGTTTTTTTGGTAGGCCTAAGTGATTTATGGCGCTCGCAACTACATTAGGTCATATGTTCAGGCGGGACACATTTTAAAAATGTTACGCTTGGTATGAATTAATTTTGAATTTTGCCTTGCATAGATTTTGCCTGGTCGAAGCCTCATCTTATCGATTTTGGAACCACCAATAGATCTTTCGTGCACAACGTGCACTCGGGACCTCTGGTAATTTTACGTTCTTGTCCAAGAAGGCTAGGTGATCTATCTTACCCAGGGGCGAAGCGTCTATATAATCAAATAATCACTGCTTCCCTTCCTAATTTTTAAACATTGTCGCTGTCAAATTCATCCATAA